ATGACATGTATGAATATGTCTCACTTTCAAATATACAGCCTGTATATATAATATATGATACATACAATAACAGAAGATGATGATTACATTCTTTCATTCTGACATTCTTTTTGAATGATGGATAAACTAGGAGACCTGATGGAGTCTGTGAGAGCATTCCATGGATGTTATTAGTAGATTGTATACACAAATTTCTTATTCCTTGTACACTTTGAAACTTCGGATCTTATAAAACTTATATGATCAATAGGAGGTATAAAAAACTGGCTGTTCTTGACAGTCTTCACAAAGTCGCAAATTCATTTACGGGACAATGTTTTGGCTTATGTAATGAGCAGTGATCGGCTTCTATAGTGAGCAGTGGTCGGAATTGAGGAAGTAAATTTCGCTAATCTAACTAATAATGTGGACATTCCCTTCTACAAATCCCGGGACTTCTCGGAACTGATTATACTTGAATATATGAACTGCCAATGTGGAGAAATCACATACAGTCCCATGTTGTCACGTGATTATTCTAAACTATAACAATCTCAATATCTTTTTTATAATAAAATTTAGCTCATTTTGATCATTGTTGTGCAATTAGTTAAGAAATGAACTAAGTATTTTGGTTTAGGTCACTGTTCTTCAAAACCAGCGAATCGTGTTTCTTTAGGTACTTACGTATTTAAATAAATAAATATAAATAAACGCACACACTCAACATAGCCCCGCACTAGGGAAACCCTGTGTCGCGGGTGCCATGGACACACACATAGACAACCACAAATTACACCCAAACTCACGAGAGAAATAATTGTAGGCCATACAAATATTTCTCCCGGCCCGGGAATCGAACCTGGGACCTCTGCAAGGCAGATGGTAACCGTTCGGCCACTGAGGCAGTTAAATACTTTAGCTATTAAAAAAGTAAACATGTGACCACCTGTATTTTGTAATATTTAGAAAACAATCAGTAAAAAAAAATTATACGCATTGATGGGTATGTCCATACTAAAACGTTGGTGTTTTAGGTAGACTAAGTCCCTCACTTCCGATCACCGATAATGAGATTCCGGTTAATATTGATTTGCCGTTTACGAGGTTTAAAACTATAGTGAGTGCGTACTTGGATGACAAAAATCCACGGTAGTGTCCCGTTTAGCTCTTTCAGGTTGTCTCGATCTATGAAATTTGAAATAAATATTGTAAATGTGCACAAATGCTTATTGACAAAGGACAACTTAACAATTTACTTATTTCTGCCGCCAAGCAGTAATGTGTTCCGGTTTAGAAGGGTAACGGTGCTGGTGAAATTACAGGCACATGGGACTTGTTATGTTATGTCTCAGGGTGACGGGCGCAGTGGCAGTGCGCATAAGATCTTTGTGATTTAAAGATCTTGAGTGTCACTGCAACTGATATAGACCGACGTGTCGCTTACCACCTGGTGCACGACTTGTTCGTCCCGCCACTTGATATTATTAAAAAAAACAACCCGTAGAATATTCTTACTCATTCTTCTCAGGGAAATGTACCTTACAAATGAGTAGAAAAGTTTAATTAGTGTGACTATTTCAAGTGTAATTTACTTACCTGTGAAATAAAGGTAATATATTAATTTTTAGATGTATATTAAGTGTGCTGTATGCCTTCAATGTTATTAATCATGTACAGGTATTCAACGGTCCAGAAATCACTATGCCAAAGGATTGCAGACATTATAAACCTCCCCAGGACGGACATGAGGGACTGGCTTCATATTGGGAGCATAGGTAAAGTGTTTTTGTAAATGTAAACACTGATAAATGATAGAATAACATATATATTCTTAATTGACGGTACTTGCCATCTTCCTTCATTTTTTTTAACTTCGAACGTTAGTGATTTTATTATAAAAAACCGGCCGCAAAAGTTATTCATCCATTAGTTTGTCACCCTTGGAGGTGGAATTTCAATTTTAAATGGAACCACTTCTGAGATACCCTCTTTTTGACAAAAAAGAATCATTAAAATCGGTTGACAAATGCTGAGTTATCGCGTAACATACATACAAAAGAAATACAGACGAGTTGAGAACCTCCTCCTTTTTTGAAGTCAGTTAAAAGTAACGAACAAAAGTCACATCTTAAGCAAAATGCAGCATATAAAAATATTAGTTGGAAATTGTTCCCTTATTCATTTCAATAGCGTTCAAGTTTGCAGTTTATAAAAATTTACACTTTATATAACTTAACCTGTAGCTTAGTATACAGTCATTATTATTACACTTTTTGGACCGTACCTATGTATGTTATGATGTTAAATTTTAGTCTCGTCGGTTATTTTTGGTTTTATTTCAAGTGCCGCCATTACAATTATTTAATTTACTTCTGATTCTGTTTTGTCCCAAAATCTAAAAAAAGACAGATTTTTTAAATATAATATCAAGTGACGGGACGAACAAGTCGTGCGCCTGATGGTACGCTACACGCCTGTCCATAACAGTTGCAGTGCCACTCAGAGCTTTAAATCGCAAAGACCTGACAGGCACTGCCACTGCGCTCGTCACCCTGAGACATAAGTTGACAAGTCCCATGTGCCTGCAATTTATATAAAATCAGCACTTGGCGGCAAAAATAGTTGAGGTGGCAGTACTTCCCTGGACGAACTCTTTCACAAGGACCTCTACTGCTACTAAACTTTTTTCAGAAAAAACTTTACTAATACGATGTCAAGAGATATTAATTTAATTGGTACTTTTTCTAAATAAAAAAAATATATATATATTCTAACTTTTTAACCGACTTTACAAAAAATAGATAAGGTTCTCAATTCGACTGTGGTTTTGTATGTATGTTACGCGATAACTAGATTTGTGAACCGATTTTGATCATTCTTTTTTTTAACAAAAAAGTATTGGTCCCATTTAAATTAGAAGAACATATTCCACGTTTAAAGGTGGCAAACTAGGGGATGAATCCGGTTTCGCGCATTTTCCGGTAACCGATCTCAATAAAACTTGACAAATAGATGTATTTAGTACCCTGAAAGTACTCTGAACTGAGATTATTTTTTTGTTACGCTAAACATGCTAGTCTGTCCTTGTTATTATTAAAAAAACCATAAAATATATAATAAATATTATATTTATTAATAAAATATTATAAAACTTAACTTAAGCTACACTGCTATAAATTTTTAATACGTACGCAGGCATGTGCACAACGAATACGGGCTGTTTTTCATCCGCGGCACGCACGAGGGCTCTTTACAGCGAGCGGACTCCAAATACCGGCCCTTCATTCTGACTAGAGCTGTTTTCCCTGGCACGCAGAGGTACGTAACTGCGTTTCGTCTGTCAGGTAAAGGTAAAAAACAGGGCAGTGATAACAGCTGAGAGCTGAGACCACCTAGTTCTACATGTCGTTTCGGTTATGACCAATGGTCTGAAAAACTTGTCCCACATATCGCACTGTTAATACAATAGTGTACTAACTCAAAAAGAGGACTTTCTCAGAATCGATGAAAAACGAATTACTCACTTCCCGCAACAAAAATCATTGAAATTTGTATGTTATAGTTTATTAGAGACACTTAAACAATTTCTCAAATGTATTTAGAAATGAAATGGAAAAAATAATTTCATGTGTGCGTGCGCGTGCGCGTGTGATTAATTACTGTTTCGAATTCCGGATTTTCGGAAATGGTTTTACTGCATCGTAGGACAAAACTACTGACCTAGGAAGTCGAAGTTGGATTTTAATGTAATTCTAATGGTGCCATGTCAAAATGCAGTAGATAATTGACCTTTTACCAAAACAGAGAATAAAAATGTGTTGTCTCTCTTTCTTTCTATTAATCAGTATTAATTAATGAAATCTATATTTAATATGTAATAATTAACTAGACTACTACTAACTAAAATATATAATAGAGAACTAATTCATATTTGGTGATTTTAACAACTTTATGTCGCTTCTTGTAGCTATATGTGTACAGGTATCTATATATGGAACACCTATTTCCGACCATTGTTTACACGTAATATTTTTTTATATATTAATAATAGGTTGAATGCTGTAGAAATGAGAGCTTTGTGCAATGTGTGCGGTATTAATCTTAAAGACAGAATACCAAACAATGTAGTAAGAGAGCGTTGTGGTATGAAAGATGATGTAGTGACCAGAATACAGAGGGGGGATACTTCGATGGTTTGGTCATTTAGAAAGAATGTATGTTGGTTGATTGACGGCACACATTTTTAGATCTAATGTGGATGGGGGCGTTTAACCATAAGCACGACTATAGAAAAACAACCTCTGCCGTCCACAATTTTGTATTGTTACTGAAATTACGTCTAATTTTTAAGCAATTTATTTATTTGTTGTTCGTGCAGATACGCCGCGGTATGGACCGGGGACAACATGGCAGAGTGGGGCCACCTCGCAGTAACCGTGCCTATGTGCCTGTCGTTAGCCGCTGCCGGGGTCAGCTTCTGCGGTGCTGACGTCGGCGGGTTCTTCAAATATCCGGAGGCGGAGCTCATGACCAGATGGTACCAGGTCAGGATCACACCTTAATGCAGTTTACTAAACAAATTGGACATGGCAGATCTTCGATAGTAATTTTCACAAACGGATGTCAGGGGATCGAAGGATTTTCCACACACGCACGCACGCATGCACGCACGCACGCACGCACGCACGCACGCACGCACGCACGCACGCTCGCACGCTTAACCTCCTTAGAACAAAATTTGTACTGTCTAAAATTGTAACTTTTACTTTTATTTTGTTTTCAGTTGTAATTGCTTAACCATAGCTATTAAGTCTGCCCGAGAGTGGAGATCTGGTTACCTGAGATACAGGTTCTTCTAGTTCAGGGACCAGCCTTCACAATCAGATTATATTTTGACGTTATGTAAAGCATCTATTTTTATTTTTACAAGCACTGTTTGTGGAGACAATAAATTATTTATTTATTGCTTTTTGTGTAGGCGAATTTTCTTAAGTTCATTTCAAGTTTATATACAGTTGACTTTTGACAATTTAGTGGCAGGCTTCAACTACGCAGTTCAATACTGTGCTAGTAAATATCATCATCATCAACCCATTTATATGTCCCACTGCTGGGCACGAGTCTCCTTTCAGACGAGGGTTTAGGCCATAGTCCGCCACACTGGCCCAATGCGGGTTGGGGACTTCACACGTTTTCCGAGGGTTGTGACCCTTCTTCAACGTGCAGGTTTCATCACGATGTTTTCCTTCACCGATAAGCTCATGATAAATTTCAAATTAAATTTCGCATATAAATTCCGAGAAACTCAGAGGTGCGAGCCCGGATTCGAACCTACGACCTTCTGCTTGAGAGGCAGTAGGTCAAACCATTAGGCTACTACGGCTTCTAAATAAATATCATAATATAATATATAGTAAATATCACCTACAATGATTCCACGAGTTTTTGTATGAGAATTAGAAAGTTTATATGTTATTGTGTGTGTAATTGAGCATGGTGAAAAGACGAAGGCAACAGCTAACTGCCTAAGCAACAATCACAGACAATTTTCTTTATGATACCAAGTCATTGGTGGTAAACGACACGCCTATCCATAACAGTTCCAGTGCCACTTAGAGCTTTTAATCGCAATGATCTTACTGGCACTGCCTCTGCGCCCGTCGCCGTGCCTTGCCTCACGTTGCCGTGTCGTGCCTGTCTGTAATTTCACCAGCACCCTTACCCTTCGAAACCGGAACGCAGTAATGCTTTACATTAAATTACTTCTTGGTGGCAGAAATAGGTAAGGTGGCAGTATCCTGGACAAACTCTTTCATACGGGGCTGTACTAGTTTAAAATGTATGAATGACCAAATGAAATATGATTAAGTTAATAAATGAAATATGAATTAATGATTGTTGTTTGCAGGCCGGAGCCTTCCAACCATTCTTCCGAGCGCACTCCCATATCGAAACCAAGCGGCGTGAGCCTTGGCTGTATGAGCCTGCCACCACTGCCTTGCTGCGCGAGGCCGTAAGACGCAGATACGCTCTTCTAGACTTCTGGTAGGTTAAACAGGGTACATGCCACTATTGGGCACGAGAACTCGTCTAAGAATCATTTTACGTTAGAACAAACGCGGGAAAGAAGATATATAAAGAGCTGTGTTTCGCCGTACGTATCCTCCAGGTCGGGTTACGTCCCTAGCTAGGCCCCTACAAGTTGATACCTTTCTAAAACAGATGCCTCATAATGACCTAATTCATTAGGAAGAGGTTTGAAATGTGTGATCGTTGGTTTTATCGCGTGATAATTTTACTATAAAATGTATGCCGCGCAATCTCGCGCGAGCTATTAATGGTAATTTTCGGGTCTTCTTTTTAACCGACTTCAAGAAAAGGAAGAGGTTCTTAATTCGGCTGTATTTTTTTGTATTTTTGTTATGCGATAACTTTTTGATGGGAAGAAGGTACCTAGGTAAAATTTGGCAAATAGATGTATAGTCTGTTCCAATCTATTATACCAGAAAAGTAAACAAACAGATTACTGACCATAGATAGTTTAGTGATGGCAAACTGTTCTGCCAACTACAAATCGATGAATTGATTGAATGAATTTGTTTAATTGAATATGTTGGAATAACTGGGTTTTGTATAATGAAGTGGGTTTTGTGATTTCGCTGCTGATTACTATAAAAAAAATAGATGATTACATGAGATTTAAAAAAAATTCTCACATAATCTACAAAAGCACGTTTCTAATTTCCGAAATCAAATCCGTAATCTTGTTGTATGCAGGTACACGTTGTTCTACGAGCACTCGACCAAGGGCCTGCCCGTGATGCGACCGCTTTTCCAAGAATTCCCTGACGAGGAAGAGACTTTCACTATTGATGACGAATATTTGCTTGGTGAGTTACCTGTAGAGATTAAATTAATTCTATTTATCAGTGCATCTTGTCAGACATCGCAACATGGAAAGGCGAGGGGCAGAAATTAATTATAATTTATTCTGGAAATACTCGTAATAACTTTTATAAATTAATAGTTAAATGCATTTATGAATTTATTTATGTATGATTCTGGCACTGTACTCTCGTTCTCCGTCCGCGGCATAACTGTTAAGTAAACTGTTTTTTCCTCTCGCATCGCGCAGCTATCTCAGGAACCGGGTCAGTTGTAGTCTACTTCAGAGAAAAAGTTGTTTTTTCTAATGGCTCCGAAAAAGAAATCCGCTGAGCAGTCCTAATCTCTGTTCTTTCCGTTCGATGATGATTGTTTCAGATATTACGATTTACTAACAGGAATCTTATTATTATTGATATGAAGCTCGAAGTAACACAAAAATACCTTCGATATCATTGGATTCTAACCAGCGTCTGTTGCTTCGCCGTGGCTATACAAATCTCGAAAACTCAGCTTCGCTTCGGATGTCGCTCGTGCACCAAGCCCGATTCGAATCCGAAAAAATACGAATATCGTTTACGCCTAGAGATAATGATCCCTGTCAAATTTCGTACCGTCTACGTACGTTTCTCGGATTCGGAACTACTACTCCCGTTCCGAATTATTGTCAAATAAGTAATACTCGACAAAATTAGACGAATTATGCGAATGAAGCTTCATACTTGACATTGTTTTTTTAATTTGGCTGAGTGTTACTTATTTGATAGTAATTGTTTAGGACGGATGTCGAACAGAGAACGTGAAATTTTCCTAAAGTTTATTATTCATATTATACAGTGTGTTAATTTGCATCCTCGTCACATCTAAGAAATTAATAATAGAAATAATGCTAAAACGTCTAATAATATTTAAATTATTCTGTTCAATATTCTGGCTAATTAATTGTATCTAGTAAAAATTTTGCAAAATTGTCTCGAAGTTGTATGCACCGCGTAAGGGCAGTGACCCCGCCACCCGCTTCACCGAGCGATACGTAATTTTTCTAGATCACTTATTTGCCTATTTTTTTTAATTACGATTATGTACTACGATTGTTATAATTTACCATTTATTTACATTAATTAGTAAAGTTGACTGAAAAAAGTTTTTTGTAAATTAAATTTAGTACTTACCGACTTTAGGTTACATGAAACTATTGCTAGAAGTGCCTAGCTTCACAGCTGGTGGCTATGCAGGATTCGCACGTGAGTTTAGTTTCAGCATTAGACTCCACAACTTTGAAAGCAGAAACTTCGATACTCGTATCCTCCGCGTAAACTAAACGTTTCACATCATGCCTTAAGATTAGACACGCACTTGTACTTGATGGATTACCTTTTTCTTTTCTTTGCACTGCTAACTCTTGTTTACATACCAAACCACGTGGTATTTCGTGACTGACTATAATAGAATGTATGTGTGATTTCAACGTGATCTACCAATTGCGCGCTCGATACGACACTCCCCCGCCGTCCCTACCAACACCCCACCACCAAGTAGATCTAAAATGCGTTTCTTTCTGCGCATTAGGGTCACTGTCCAAAACGTTTGCAAGTCACGTGCAAGTCAATGACCTTTGTATGAAATTTGTTTACCGCAATTAAATAAAAAATAAGAATTTACGAAATTTTTTTTTATTTTTTGAGGATGAGGTCTGGAACTATATATCTTAAAATAATACTTAATGAACAGAAATAGCATTTACTTTATTGAACAACATAGTCGTTTTCTAACGTCTTCTTTATTCAGTTACCATCCAATTTTTTCTAGGTATCATATGAAGAATCACATTCATTGCCACCATATGTTATAAAAGGTCTTAATAAATTTATGTGTTCATATGAACCCCGTTAGGCTACTGTGAGGTTTAACAATTTGAGAGTTGGACTTATATTTACTTACATTACAATAATAAGGTACATGCCACTATAATTTATACAATTGCAACAAAATAAATTGCGCTGATACTTTAATTTGTTTTGTCCAAAAATATAGAAATCATGGAATGAAACCGAAAATGGTTTTTTTTTTATATATATACTATCAAGTGACGGGACGAACAAGTTGTGCGTTTGGTGGTAAGCTACACGCCTGTCCATAACAGTTGCAGCGCCACTCAGAGCTTTAAGTCGCAAAGATCTGAAGGGCACTGCCACTGCGCCCGTCACCCTGATACATAAGCTGACATGTCCCATGTGCCTGTAATTTCACAAATACCCTTACCCTTCAAAAACCGGAACGCAGTAATGCTAATATTAGTACTTGGCGGCAGAAATAGGTAAGGTGGCAGTACAGGCCTGGACAAACTCTTATTTATTTACATTGACTTACAAATAAATGGACGACGGGTCTAATACAAAAACCACGAAAAAAATGTCCCAAGTCAACCTATTCGAAATTTAAATTGTAATGTCATCGCAGTATCGCGCTGTCAGTCGAACAAATGAAGACTAAAGCGGAGTTTGGCGCTCTGTATACGATTTTAGCGCCTTACAAGTGCGGACACTTTTTAGCGCGGACCCGACGTCCATATAATTGTAAGTCAATGTTTATTTATATTCATTTGTCCTATGGAATAAAAGTTGATGGATGTTAATCATGTCTAAATTCTCGGTTACCAGGTGCAAACCTCCTAGTACGTCCGGTAACAGAACCCGGTGTCAACAGCGTGAAAGTGTATTTGCCCGGCAAGGAGTCCAAAACCATATGGTACGACGTGGACTCCTACAAGGCCATTCCAGCTGCGGGATACATGCACCAGGAAGTGAATATTGGCAAGGTAATACTGATTCTTTTGTTTATTGAAGGTGGACGTGTTCCTGTGGAGGACGGAAGTGAAAATCAAATCATTTTATTCGTCATCACGAGTGGACAATAACGAGGTTAACAAACTTTATTTTATGATTTCCATGATGTACTGTCAAGGCATACGAAATGTGTCCAATACTTTTAAATAATAATCATCGTTAACAAAATAGTGATAAATCACTACCACCTTTACAGAACTGCCCCATATCTTTCTAGATTAGTTTTGAATTCAGTGACCCTCCCCACCGACTCTTAGGGTGTACGAGAAGGCACTATAACCTGTACGCGCACAGGAACCTTATAGGTTCAGGTCCTCAGATCTGCCAGTGTACAAGGTTATCACAGACCTCTGTCACTTGACTTCATCTGGTTCTCGAGAGGCTAGTGCTTCGGGTGACCCACCACGGATGCGTGTACAGTACCCTCCCTGTTTTCCAGATAGGTACCGGAGCTGTACGCACGCTCACTTCCCGTTGCGCATTGTCACCGAAAAAACCACGCATGTCTTAAAATCTATAATGGTTAGGACGTCAATACACTGGTCATTTAATTAAAATAATCAATGTAAATCCGCTATTCCCACATTCGACGTTCTCAGCCTAATTACCATAGCCATTGTTTTTTTTCTCTTATACCCTTATACCCAACAACAATGAAATATGAAAAATTTAAGCTAAAGTATTAATATGTCTAAATGGCATTAGAATAAACAAAGCAGTTTTCAAGTTATTAAGACACAAATATTTTATGGAAACGGTAATTAGATCTAATTACCGTAGCCATAGATACGGTAATTAGAAAGTTCAAACATTGTTTTTTATAGTTTAGCTTAATATTTCATATTTCAATATTATTGAGTATGATGAGCGAGAAAAACCAATGGCCACGGTAATTAGGCCGAGAACACCGAATGTAAGAATGGCCGAAATATAGTCTGGCTTTTTGAAGATGGAGTACATTGACAATAATGAACTGTCGATGGTTCAAATGAAACGAGTTCAGATAATTATTGCATGAGCGTGACCCAAGTTCAATCGATAGTCGATAGAATATTTATCAACTGCAATCTCTAGCTGCTTGCAAGCATGCAACACTTTTGCGCAATGACCTTTTACTCCATCTTAAAAAAAGACAGACTATAATTAATATCATACAGTCATGTTCATATCTCAATATTATATAAATTGTATCGTGTTTTGTCTTGTCGCAGATCCCGGTGTACCAGCGCGGAGGATCGATAATTCCACGCAAGGAGCGCGTGCGCCGGTCATCGGCGCTGATGGCTGACGACCCCTACACGCTCGTCGTTGCCCTGGACGTCAATGTGAGTCCTCGATATTTTATAAAATTGAAAATTCAAGAATGGTAAATGTACACACAGCTGCTGACCTTGTGGATCCTACTAACATCGTCAACAGCAACTTTTGCTCCATGACTTTTTAGAAAACATAATAAATGCAGAAGAGTTCCTCTCTCGTCCAGGGAAGCACACCGGTTTTCATGGTGTCGCCATCTCTGATGTCCCAGGTTCAATTCCCGGCTGGCTCAATGTAGAAAACTAAATTTTCTCTGGTCTGGGTACCGTCGTTGTTTCCGATTTTTTTTTAAATAAAAAATAAGTCCGCATTTCACTTCCATCTCACGACGGTGGAAAGTAATGATGAGGTCGACGATAGAGCGTGCACAGCTAAATAATGCCTATTCACTCTTGCCTGGAAAACCAGGCAAGAGTGAATAGGCATTATTTAGGTACAAGTTATAGCGTTCGGGGAATAAGTCCGCTGGTAGGGAATTCCACTCTCTAGCCGCTCGCCTTATAAATGTGCAAGGGAAACGCTTCGTGCGAATCCTAGGAATATCCACAACATAGAGGTGGATTCCCAGCCCACGTCTAGTCCCGCGATGATGGAAAGGGGAATGCGGAGTCAAATTATGCAATTCCATCGCACACTCTCCGTGATACATCCTGTAGAATACCGATAAGCAGGCTACTTTGCGGCGGTGTTCAAGCCTCTGCAGCTTCGCCTCTACTAATTCCGAGTCACCTATAAGCCTCTTGATACGCTTCCAATTGCCATAACACAATAAATAACACAATTTTGGATTTCCATAACACAAGTGCTCTAGTTACTTTGGAATCAGAACAACGTATCTGATGTTGTCTAATATTATTATTACATTGAATCGTATTACAGAAAGCCGCCCACGGCACACTGTACATAGACGACGGCGAGACCTACGAGTACCGCGACAGCAAGTACATCTACGCAAATATCGATTACAAGAATAACGAACTTAATTACACGTAAGTATTGTTTCTAAAAGCTTCATTACTATAGGATATTGAGGACGTATACCGACTCCTCACTTGTACTATGTACGAGCACTCATACAGTGCAAACCCGGGTTAAAGTCCCGGTACTTAATTACCTAGGACCAGGACCGTTGTCTATTTATTATTTCCACTTGTGTTGGTAATAAAAAATAATCGAAAAAACAATAGTACAAATAAAGTAACACCGCATAAATACAATGTAAGCATTAAAACGAGATATCATTATTTTTAAATTTAAAAAAACAAAAGATTAAATAACAAAAAGGACAGACAGAGAAATATGTAATTTTTTGCACGCATTGCATGTGTGCGCTGTGGTGATAAAGCGGCCGTAGCTCAGCGTAAAGACCAAAATCAACCCCGTAAGCCCATCGGAATTTATGTAAAATAGAGTTGGTTTTGCCTTATCACATTAATATATCCAAATTATTTTGTTTTGTTTTTGAAAAATTACACCTATATATACTACCCAATTCACAAATTCAAAACATCAGGACTTTAATCGTCTGTTGCGACTCCATAGGTATGCGTGGAATTATGGTTGAAGCCAATTTGTTACTCCAGGCGGAATCGTCGACTGTGAACGTGTTAATATTACGAAGAATAAAAAAGAAAAATGTTACCTCTAGGAGCTGAAGAAATTCCCACATTTATTTCAAGTAACTTTTCATTTACAGTATCGTGAACAAAAATGCCAAGTACCCAACTCGGTCTTGGTTGGAACGTGTTGTAATCGCGGGCATCAGAAACTCGCCCAAATCGGCTAAGTTGACACAAGGTGACAAAACAACGGCTCTGCAACTGACATTACACAAGGGTAACGACGTTCTGGTCGTGCGGAAACCTGGTGCCACAATGGCGGCATCATGGACAATCACATTTGGATATTAATATTTAGATTCCGTAATTAGTCGGTGTTCTGTGTGATCCGCTAGGTTATTTATGAGAAGTTAAATGTGAGCTTTCTTCATTTTCGACAATCTGAACTTAAACGGCGTAAAGAGATACTAGAAATAAAGGGAATCGATTGCATTGCACCCATGAAGAACAAAAATATTTATATGTGCTGTTCTCTGTAAGGCCAAAATGTATTCTTTTTCTTTATTATACCGTAACGACTCATTTGAATGGAGCATGACCCTATTAGAACATTATTCAATTGATTATAATTAATTTAAACGTAAAATATCCTTAAGCAATAGGTTTAGTTGAAATAAAACTTCACGTCAAAGTATTTGAGGTTGTGTAATTATTAATTTTTTAGTGATACAATCAGTATCGAGTATATAACCAGAAATAGAGACGAAATGGCATTTAATTTGTTTGAAAACTATACTGCCATATCATTACTGTGACAACTGCGCTCCGATTGGCCAGCCCGAATTCGAAACAATTGACGGGTGTCGTCAATAAATTACATTTTTTTTTTTTTTTATACATGACAGGCAAATGACTCCACTCCACCTGATGTTAAGTGGAAAGTGGTATCCAAACGCGAAAGAACCTAGTGCAGCGATGAAATCCTCACTGCACTAGCCACCTCCACCCTGCCTGCCTACAATATGCCTCTTCACGCCTCGTTTGAAGGACCCCATATCATAAGAGGGAGGGAAGACATGTGCCGGAAGGGAGTTCCATTTGTCAACCGTGCGGCAGAGAAAGGAGCCACCGAACCTTTTAGTACGCGATGGAATTCGGCAGGTAGTGAAACGGTGACTACGAAGGCCAGCACGCGTGCTTCTGAGCAGGAACGGGGAGGGGGGATGAGGATATTTAATAACCGATGACAATTTATTCCGTTTGTTTTATAATTAGATGTTTTGCTGTTTTTCACCACATCACCGAATGAAACAGCACGCCATTGCTAGAGATATTATCCTTCTTACAATAAATAAACAGAATATTTTTGGAATATACGGAGACGTACACACAGGTCAGTAGTTGGCCTGTCTATATTTCACTGCAAACGAGAGTTGATATTTATAAGAGCTGTATCGCTAATGTGTTACCAGGAAATATGGCCCTTATTGCGTCTCTATTTCTGGTTATATACTCGATGAATACTATGTTGTTAGTCGATCATGTTTGCTTACATTTTTAAAGGCTTTCGACTAAGATTGCGCATAGATAAAGGGTTAACAAGCGTGTGGGAGAAAGCCAAAAGTTCAGTTTTAATTTATATTCACCCTTTTAAAACTGGAAGTTTCTTAAAAATTGCAAGTTTCATATTTAACTTTCATAGAATTGTACTTTACTGTTATAATCACAGTTCAGGTATTTTTTATCTTATTGTATCTGTTAAAACTATTAAACAATTTAAAAATATTTAAACTTGTATGTTTTCAGTATTGTTTGAAATATCATAATCATTTATCATCTAGCGGATTATTTTAGAACTAAACACTCACTGCAAAGTTGCGTTTAGTCATTATTTCAAAGCCATTATGATGTTTTCATGACGCCATTTTGATTTCTTCATGACGCCATTTTGATTTACTTCTAGCGCCATTTTAATATCTTGATTGGCGACGACGAAATAGGTTTGTAAATTTAATTGACAAAAAATATTCAAACCACGCACGAATGATAATACACATGTCTACAACTATGATCTTTACAAATATGTAAGACTGAAAGTTCACATAGATTTGAAAATGCGTCTAGAATAAATAAAAAACAATAGTTTTGAATCATTAGACTAAACGCAATGTATCATAAAGTAGAGATTTACATAAGTTAGTATCATGTGTAATTTACACAAAAGTGTTATCATTTTTAAGTATAGAATGAATAGCCTCGTATTATATTTACAAGGACCTTTGAATCAAATGGTATTCAGTCCTATATACAAATCTATTAGGAAAAAAACGCTGCCGAATCTACGCGCGCGCAATTTCAATTTACTGTCTATCTATTATTACTTGTTAGTCACGTAATTTTTATGTAGATTTGTCGCTCGCCAGATATAATATGCATGATATTAAAAATTATAGAGAAGTAAGTAAGTACTAAGCAACATCGTTCTTAATGCGCTCAGGCACCTGTCACGCCCTAATGAAACACGATCTTTATTTATATATCCATTATTCAATTCTGTAGGCGAGAGCAAAGATGGACAATGGGTTAAAACCCAATCAACCGGCCCAGGTTTTTACCTAAAGTGGTTTTAACTCACTTCTGCCCAAAATCTTGGGCGGAAACGGCGAATTCGGTATTTGGTATAATACAATACTTATTACAAATTTCGTTGTAAAAAAAGTCTTTTTTAGACGAGAAAGAGGCAACTTCGCATAATATCTACCTTGCAGTCCTGTAGATTCTCAGTATGGTCGCACGATCTAACGATTTTTTGTATCGATTATTTCAATGCGATTTGCAAGCGAACCGATTCAATAGAAAGACAAATTGAATCCTCTGGATTAGAAAGCAATTAACATTTTGTAAGAATATAATTATATTTAAACAAAATTAGATTTAAAACATATTTAATTTGTAAAAAAAATGCCCTCGATTTCGGGCATTAATGGGTTAATAAAGTATCGTGTTTAAGACCCAGGCGCTTGTCTATCTCAGGAGGAGAGGTAAAAAACGTCAGGTCCTAATTTTGGAATTTAGGGGTTTTTACAAACATTGTGAAAATCACGCAATGGTAAAAGACAAGTCCTATCGTTGTTTGTTTTTTATTTAACCTTAATATTGATTTTAAATATCTAATTAAAGTCTTCTCTCACTTTCTTTAAAACGCTCTATAGTAAAAATTACTATTTGGTAGTTTTTTACCTCTCACATACAGATTATAACTCCAACAACATATGTTAGGATAAATGGGCATAGTCTAGAAAAGCTCTATCCAACCTTAATATTGATTTTAAATGTCTAATTAAAGCCTTTCTCTTGACAGTATAGATAATGTGAAATTAACCTATATTAAAAAAAGAAGTATTATACAGTTCACAAGTATTAAGTCTAGTATAATGAACTTGGGTGTACAATTTAGTTCAAATGCTTGTCTATACTTAACAACCTTGTTAATTCAAAGCCCTTGTCACACTGTAGTTAAAATCGCCCAAGTTACCTATAAAGCCGGGTACTCACTAGCGAGTTGTAACCGTAACTGTTGCATGTTATAATCACAAACAATCATAGTGTGTACTTAGTTCGCGAGCGGAACGCGTGTTTCGCAGTGAGCTGACGATAACTTTACCAATATTCATTCTAGCGAGTGAAGACTTTCACGCGTACACACTAGAGACTTGTTACTGTATCTCGCATGTTACAGTCACAGCTCTCTAATGAGTATCCGGCTTTATAAGTTCCGGCTATCGTAAAGTTGTTATGAACATGAGGGAGTTTCCCTTATGGACGGGGAAGTGGCTTCAGCTGGTCAGAAAAAGCTTTACAACGATGCGTTACGCACGTTACGGACTTAACGTACGAAAGATGCACGGATTTCCGCGTCTGTGGCGCCACTACTAATTTTCATACAAGGTCTAGACTTTAGCCAAATTCGATTTACAATAAATGTCAACAAACGAAAGAATATGTTTTTTAGGGTTTTCACCACGAGACTGTTATGCAGTTACCACAATTGCAATATTTTTCCCCAAAATTTGACTAGGCTATTGATAATACTTATCTTCAAGTCTTGTCTGTGATGAATACAAGTTTCTAATCACTAGTTAATGATTTCAAACTAACATAAAAAATACTAGAAATCAATTATTTATAAAACTCTGGCAACCATAACGATTCTCTGATTTGAAGGGAGAGATTGCAAACATTTAAGTTCAATTAGTAATTCAAGTTCAGAGGAAAGAAGAAATATGTAGTAAATACATACATTATAAAAGCTTAAATACTAGAAACTAAAACTAGACTTAAATGAATAAAATTGGGTTCCCGCGGCAAAGTGCCCAAGATGCTGGCAGCGTTGTAGTAAATTAATACAAAATAAAATCTAACAATTTTGTTTCGTTTCGTCTTGACTAGGTAAGTATTACTTCTACATAACCAAATTATCTACTTACCCATTTAAATTCCATACACAAGCAGGCCGTCGGCATAGCCTCAATAATGCGCATTGACAAAAAAATTCTTTTCACCTGCTGTCATTGGTTGCCTAGCAACATTGTTATAAAACATTCTATATCAAATTTGGCTAGAGTATATTCTATTTATATCTTGTAAATATTGTATGAAAATTACCACTGGAACGCTTTTACAAGCGTCTTCTTTGAAGGTGCCTAATTGAAAATGATATACACTGCCGCGTTATAAGATGTTACCTACTATATAGAGGTGACAATATATTAATAGGAGCACGAGGACATATTTATCCTTTTGATCCTACCAGTAGGAGCATAAGGACATATTAGTCCTCGTGCTCCTACCAGTAGGAGCAAGAGAAAGCGGCCCGCTGACGCCTGTAATCACGTCCTATTACACCCGTGGAGATCCTACACTATATTATTAAAAATACATTATACCACTGTCGAATGTAATGTTTTGACTATATCTATATTTCGCATAAATTCAAGAATTTACCTATTGTATTAATTGTTATATAAAATGTGGCCAGGCATGTGTCGTTAATAAAAAAAAATCTCTGGTGTTTGAAAAAGGAATTTGTTTACCGTACCACCACTGAAACGTGAAGGGGTGAATTATAAACCTGACAGGTCACGTTTTAATACAGGGAGCGAAACAGGTATCCGTTATCGGTGTTTAATAAAATGTGGACCTTTGTGCGCGCCTCGGTTTACTCATTGGGGGCAAATTAATATACGTTGTAGTGTAGCGCTCTTGCATAGTTGACTTCATTTCTAACTATAGAGTTCCTATTTAATTAAGTATACAGTCTATCCATCAGCGGGTGATGTCGGATGATGATGACGAAAGCATATATAACATCCTCAACAATAAAGTGACGTAATGAAAGTTTCTAGATTCATATTTTTCTATTTTCCGGATTCAACAGTGTGATTATTTCTACATTTTTTAAATAATTTATTTCATGACCTTGGATTCAAGTGCTTTAGTCGAAATATGTTTACGCAGTGTTGCTGTTATAGCAATGATATTACCGTAGTACCTAACCTTTTTCCATCCTCTAAGTACCTAACAGATCATTCAATCAATCGTTTATAACAGTAATTTTCAGGTAAGCTTTTGGTACTCAATTTTGATGACAATTTTTACTATTTAATTACACCAATATAACGTCGTGAAAATTAAAGAATATTTCAGGTTACCACACTCGAATATTAAATAATACTTCATGATGATATTCTATAAATATTTAAATAAAAAGAAATTGTCACCAAAATTAAGTACAAAAAACTAACCTAAAAA